GGGGCCGCCTCTCGCCGCCGCCGCTCCGCGCCTGACCCGGAAGCGCTACCCCCAGCCCGCCGGAAGTGTGTCATCGCCATTTTCAAAATCTCAGTTTAAATTTCAATAACAACTTTATCGACTTTGCGGGCGACCTCTGACCCCGGGCTCTCGCGAGAGGGGGCGCGACTTCCGGGGGGGCGGGGAAGCGGGCTCACGAGGGAGAGGTGGGGGCGGGGCTCCGCGAGGGGGCGGGGCTAAGGGGAGAGGTGGGGCGGGGCTCCGCGAGGGGGCGGGGCTAAGGGGAGAAGTTGGAGCGGGACTCCTGGAGGGGGCGGGGCTAATGGGCGAGGTGGGGAAGGGCTCACGGAGGGGGCGGGGCTAAGGGGAGAGGTTGGGGCGGGGCTCCTGGAGGGGCGGGGCTAAGGGGGGAGGTGCCCCCCCATGTCACTAAGCATCACCTGGGGCCAGAAGGACCCTGCCGAGTGGGATGGGAGTCCTGGGACCCATTTCGGGCTCTGAGGGACTTACAGACTCTGGGCTGGGAGCTGGCGGTTGGGGCCCGTGGTCGCTGCTGATCCCCTGCAGCTCACCAACCTGCTTGTGCTCGGCTCAGACTGATCCCAACTAACTGGAAACCCAGAGGGTGACACGGAGACTCTCAGCCACCTCTGTGACAATGGACGAGCCGCCTTTCAGAGACCCCCCCTCTAGCCACGGGAAAAGAGAGGGGGTCTTGAGCCCTGCTCAGGAACCCCAGTTTGCTTGAGAACCCATCAAACAGACAAGAAAGAAACACCCTCTACAACAAAGGAACCCTAAGCCCACTCCAAGAGAGTCTGACCCCGTCCTTCCCCCATTAAACCCCAGTTTTTAGCCATTTAGATGTCACAGCATTGCTGGTAACCTAGAGGCTCACCCGTTTCGTTGCTTATGGAGCCAAACTCATTGCACACGCGAGCGGCTCCTTGCATTTCTCCATTTCCCCCAACCTCCCATTCTCCTCTCTTCAGGGACCCCCTGCAATCTCCCCCCACCCCCTCCCTCATACCCGGGGGTCTGGGTGCCCTCCCTTCCCTCATTGCCCTTCTGATACATGGAAGGGGCTCTTCACGCCTCCCTCCTCCCATGCCCCTCATACCAGGGTTCCCTTTCCCACCTGCCAGGGATGCTGTTGTGCACCCCCATTCCTCCCACTATTCTTATTTCTTCTCTTTCTGCTCTGCTAACCAGATGCCAGGGGCTCCATGACCCCACATTTCTCCCCTTTGGGTTTTTTCCCCCCCAGTTTTTCCCAGAATCAACAGGGTTCTGCTCATCAATGCTTAGAACATTCCCTGAACCTTCGGAATTGATCAGACGTGGTATTCAAAAGTTATCGCATTACAGCCAGAGAAAGGCCCTCGAGTCACTTCACGAGGCCAATAAGCCTCTTGGGTAAGGGATTATGTTGTCTGGGGCTTCCAGCAAACCTATGCAGCACCTACAGCAGCTTTTCCCTCCAACTGGAGTTGTGAGCATTAAGCTTCTCTGCAGAATAGGCCAGTAGTGTCGGAGAATGGACTCTGGGATGGGACAAGGTGGTAGGGTGACACTGAGGGAATAGGTTCTGTGACAGACGAAGCTTCTCCATCTCTAACTACTGTGTCCCTGCCTAGAGATGAGGCTCTGGGAACAGCCTTTCCCACCTGGCCTCAGCCCTTTCTGAAGCAGCTTCTTTCCACACTTAGGGCAGCTTTCTTAATTCTTCAGAATACATTTCTTCTCTCTGCGTGACCCGGGCCAGTCCTTGGTACCAGCAGGGACACCCTACATCCTTATCTCACTAAGGAAACAAAACCAAAATACGCCAGAAACCTCTTCTGCAGCACCAGGTCACATCCTTGCTGTGACAGGCCGCAGGACTGTGCCCTGCTCAGGTGCATGGGCCTGGGGAATTCCTGACTGCAGGTGCCTGGGACTGGGTGGGGGTTGCTATTTTGATTGTCCAGGGCAGGGGGGTGAGATCAAGGCAGCAAATATTAATGCTTTCCTCACTCCCGGGAGGTACTCAGGGACAGTGGCTATGTCTTGTCTTTTCTTTTCAACACATCATTTTGAATTCTCCTGTTTGTATGACAGACAGTGCAAATCCTTCTGGCCGACTCCTGGACTGCTCTGGGGGAAGGAGCAGGTATCTCACGTGCGGAGACACAGCCAAATGGCAGCTCCTCTGCTGCTGGTATTCACAAAGAAGGTGACATGACAAGCATTAGAGAGTAGAGTTTATTGAATCCAAACCCTACAGCGCAGTATTGCAGGCAGAGCCCAGCAAATATAAAAAGGTCACTCGTGTGTGTGTGCGTGTGTGCGCGCGCATGTGCGTGTGCATGTGCGTGCCCGTGTGTGTGTGTGTGCGCGCGCGCGTGTGTGCGTGTGCACGTGCGCGTGTGTGCGTGTGTGTGCAGCAGCACAGCAGCAGGGGAGAGTCAGTGCATCACTGTGAAATACTCAGAGGCAGAAGCGATCGTATTGCCAAGACTCCACCTACGGGAAACGGGAACGGACGAAGGTGGAATCAGTCAGCGCTACACTCCAGAAGGCTGAATGCTTGTAACAGAGAGTACCTGTACATACTGGAGCAGAGCATTGTCCCCTCTAGCCTGGTATCCCGCTTCCTGCCGCACCGGTGCCGACCCTCAGGCCCATAGAGCCTGTTATTCCCATCGGCTCCAGCATCCTGCCTCCTGGTGTGCAGCCCAGAACTTACACTCCTCTATTCCAGGCGCCTCTTCCAGCAATGGCTTATGCCTGTTAGCTCACAGCGGCATACAACCCCCACAATGCACCTGGTCAATCATGAAAATTGTCTGGAATTTTGCATATTTCGTTTCTTATAGAGCAATCACCAGGACAAGGCTGGTGTGGTGCCTGGGCCTGCCCTCCCTTGCACGGGCTCCCTTCCAGTCGAACTCGAGGGTACCAGTTATATTGCATGTGCTTGGAAAGCAATGCAGAGGTGGGGGCCGACGCCTGTCACAGAGCAGGGCTCGAGCAGTCACCATGTGATGGCTGGGAAGCAAACAGTGGAACAACTCTGTCTAGTTCTTGCTTGGGGTTTTCCCCCTGAGCGCTCTTTGTAGACATTGTGGAGTGAAGCTTCCCCCCCCCCCCCGGTTCACCCCCCCATCAGAGGGACAAGGCCACACTGCTAACAATAAACCTGCTGGCTCCTGGGTTCCAGTCCCATTTCCGCTCCACTAGCCCACGCTGCCTCAACTCGGGCAAATGCATTACAGAGGGGACAAAACTACCTGCCCACGGGGCCCCCTGCGTCGTCTGTCTTATGAGTGCCAAGCCAGCCGGTCCTGAGCAAAGACAAGGAAAGGGAGCAACTACCTGCCATCAGCTCTTCCTAGTCATCTACCCCCCTCTCGGGGGCCATCAGCTCTCGTTCTTCCTGGTCCCCCTGGTTGCGATTCCTCGTGGACAGCACGAAGGCCGGCGCAGCCTTCTCGATGTGGATCCCTCTGCTGCTGAAGTAGTTCTGCAGGGCACTTAGGAACTGTGGGGGAAACCAGGCCTGAGTCAGCTGGTGCATTAACCACCTGGGTCCTGGTAAGTGCTGGAGCCTGCGCCACAGGGCCTGCTGGGAGCTGCTCTCAGTCCTGGGGCGGAGGGGCTGGACTCCAAGCTCACCACATGGTGCACGAGGCGGAACAGGGAGCAGCTTGCAGCTCCAGGCTCTGTAAGGCTGCTGGGAGTGAGCAGCTCAGGCCCACAAACCCACTTCCCAGGCCTTAGCCTCGCTGGCGCTCACATCCCCCTGGAACAGCCAGCCCCAGGCTCCGGTACCTCTGCCCCTCGGTGTATGTGGGGCTGCGCGGCCCGGAGGGTTCCGCTTGCTCCTTCTCTGTCCAGCAGCGGCAGCCGGGGAGAACGTTCCCAAGGGGCAGCAGCTCTGGGCTTGAGGTGCCATCTGGGGGGGGGGTCTGTTCTCATTCAGTCTGAAGGGGCTGGCCCGTTCCGATCCCGGGGCACCCACCTCACCCGCTTGGTCTGACTGAGAGTCAGGCGGACGGGACGCTTAGGGCTGTGCTGAGCTCAGAGTGCTCTCACCGTAGGGCGTGGGCACGGGCCCCCGGCCGCCTCACAAGGGGACCCTGCAGGGAGCAGCAGAGGGGCTCCTTGCGGAGTCAGCTGAGGAGCTGTATCTGCTCCCAGCGTGAGGGCGACAGGCCACGGCCTTGCCCTCGTGTCTCGTACAGACACACGTGTTAGCCACGTGACCCTTTGCTTTTAGGCCCCCATTGAGCCTGGACTCCCCGGGAGGGGGCTTTGCCTGCTCTCCCCCAGACAATGCCTTCCGCAGACCGGGAGCCGGGCTGGCCCTGCAGGACCCGCCGTGGCATGAGTCACCGTGGCGAGAGCGAATTCATCTGGCACCGGTATTGTGGTTCATTAGTGAGGCCCTAATGGGCACTTGAAATGAAGCCTCCTGTACAGCACGCAGCTCCAGAGACGGCAGAGAAAGCCCAGAGGCCCCGCTCAAGGGCTTGGCTAATGTAACCTCAGCCCAGAGGTATCTCGCTGTCTCCCCACTTCCTTTGATCCCAGCCGCCCCCTCCCCAAGCCTGTGTTATGGAAAAGAAAGAGACTCTCCCCCCCATATAATAGCTACAAGGGAGACGTGATCAGTTATTCATCAAAAGCCTTTCCACACCCCCGCCTTGGGGGTAGCGAGAGCCACTTCCAGCCCAGCTCAGCTCCTGCGTCGTGGGAATGCCATGTGCAAACAGCCTCAGCCCCCCAGCCCCCTAGCTCACCAGCTCTCTGTTCTGCGGCAGGTCCAGCTGGCTCCATCTCTCACTCTGCAGGGATCTGTTCTGAACCCAGCCCTGCACCAGCAGGGACAGGAGACCCAGGAAGGTGACTTGAAGCATCAGGTTCATCTCTGGAAGTAGCCTCAGCTGGCTGTAACAGAAGAGAACTTGCCATGTCATGACCCCCGGGGGCCCTCAGCCAAGGGCTGGCCTGGAGCAGCAGCATCACCCCCCTGGGGTGCCCGGGAGTGCACCGGGGTAGGGAAAAGCCTTTGGCACTGAAAGCCTCCCACAGCCAGAGTGGGGCAGGGCTGAGCTGGAGGAGTAACAGCAGCTCTTTGCCCTGCGCCAGCACCTCCCCTGCTGGGATACCGCCCAGCCCCAGCCACGGATGAACAGCTCCCTGTGAGGCTCTGGTGGGCCAATACCGTCTTCGCTGGTGCACAGGAGGACTGGCCCATGGTCACACAGCCAAGCTCCTGCTCTGGCCACTGCTCCAGACAGACAGGACAGAGTGAACCAAACCGAGGGCAGAAAGAGCCCCAGGCCACCCACGGGCCTGGCTCTTCACAGGCACAGTCCACATGGGACTCAGCCCTGACGTGGGAGAGATTTGTTCCACGGGGCTGGGACCGAAATGCAGTGTGGCCAGACTCTGCTGGGAGAGATGGGGCAGCGTGTTTTCAGCTGGATGACCTGGGCGGTTACTGGAGTGAACCTCAGGGCGTGTCCCACACAACCCATAGACCTGGGCTGCGGGGCTCGTGCTGTGACTTGACATCGTGGCTCGGGCTGGAGCCTGGGGTGGGGTGGGGGGCATTAATGGCAGGTCGTTTTCTGCCAAGCATGAATTCCGTCCTCAGTGGCAGCGGCTTTGCAGAGAGCGGGAGACGGTGAGCAGCCCTGCATGGACAGGGTGTGGACAGTGGCTATCCCTCTGGCCAGTCCGCTGCCTAACAGGTGTGTGTGTGTGTGTGTGTGTGTGTCCCTGGTTTTTTCATTATCCTCCTCCCGCGGCTGCTTGCGGGACCTACCTGCTTCAGCCTTTCCTGCCTGTGGGCATTGCTCTCAGCAGGGCGGCTAGCCCCAGCACTGCCCCCGAACACCCTGCAGGAACGGCAGCCCAGTGACGTGATTTGTGTGAGGGGCTGCAGAGGCTCTGCTGAATTATTATTAGTTCTCAGCAACTCATCCTGAAGCCTTTTAGTGGGAAAAAGTCCTAAAGTTTCCTAAGCAGAGTCTTTGCTAACCCTGCAGCCAGCCGGCAGGTTCACCTCTGGGGGGCCCTGGATGGCAAGCGGCTTGCTTTGATTTAAACAGTGGTGAGAAGGACGGGGGCCATAAGACAGCCGTGAGGTAGCCCCGAAAAGCAGCCAGGCGACCCGGCCCCCCTGTAATTTGAGCACCGCCGCGGGGTTGATAGAGCTTGTCCCAGGAGTCCCTCCTCCCTCCTTTCCTAGGGGAGCATGGGACTCGGGTGCGCTCTGTCCCCTTTACAAATGGGGAACACAAAGAGGGCACTTACCTCTGCTGTTTCCTGGTGCTTGCGGTCCTGGCTGCTGATTGAAGTGTCAGGCAGGCAGTGCGTCCCCTCCTTATATACAGCCCCGCGTTCCCGGTGGGTACGTCAGAAAAGAGGGAGCCATCAAGCTGCCGCCCGCTGCTCAGGGAGGTGGTGGGTGGACACGTATTGTTAGCCAAGCAAGTTGTGTTGGCCTTTGGGAGGACAGAGACGGGGAGGTCTTGCAGTTCACCTTCCCCACTCAGGCTGAATAGGAGCTGGTCACAGGCTCCTTCACTGAGCTGGGCGGCCGGAAAACGTGAGCGCCCAGTCCCCTGGCCTGGGGAAATCAGCCACCCGGCCCAGAGCAGGGAAGCCTGGGCTGTGGGGACAGTGTCCCTGCAACGTGCCCATGCCCAGAGAGCTCCGAGATGCGCTTTGTAAGGTAGGTGCAGGTCGTCACTGCCCTGTGCAGCCTGGCACCAGAGGGGCCCAGACGCTCTGGGTGGCTGCACTCGTCTCCACGCCCCGAGCAACTTTGGTGCTTGTTAAAATGAGGAGCCCACAGCGCTAGCAGGAGCCAGGCACAGCTGGGCAGGGACTGTGCAAGCTACCCACCCCCAGCTCTGCTGGTGCCCCTCAATCCCGACCCGCAGACCCCTGTTATCCCAGCCCTGGGCTCCCCCTTCCCCACAGTTCTGCCAATGGACTTAATTTATGCAAACATGTAGCAAAACCGCTCCCATTGACTCAGGCCCAGGGGAGCGTGAGCACTTTCTCGCGGCTTCAGTCCCACCGTACCAGTCCCACGGGGAGGGGGCTGGTTACATCTGTATTGCTGTAGGGAGCCTGAGCCTTTTAATGGTGGTGGCTCTGGGGTGGAGCTGCTGCGCCTGCCCTCACTGCCCGCCAGCAGCAGGGGCGGAGGCAGGCGTGGGCACCCAACACACCTGAGAAGGTTGTTCTGCGGGAGAAACGCACTGGGCCTGGGTTCGGGCCCCAGAACAGACGAACAATAAGAAAAGCAGGAGAGCGCCCATGGGCCAGATCCTGCCCCTGCTGGGGGTGGGGCTGAGAGCAGTGGAACAGCCTCTTCTGCCCAACCCCCAGACCCTGCGCTCTGCTTATGGAAACCCAGCCCCCACCTGACCCCTTGAACTGGGGGGGACTCGTTGGCCTGGGGGATGCAGGCGCTCAGACTGGTCCCTGGGGCCTAGCAATCCCTAGCCCTTTGTTGCTGCCCTTGGCGGCTCTGAAGCTTCCTGGCTCAGCTCTGCCCAGCTGGTCGAGTGCAAGTTGTTTGTTTCCATTTTCCCCTCCCACGGGCTGAATCACGCAGCCCTAGCTGCTCCGGCTGCTCACATGCATCAGCCTCTCGTCTAAGAGACGAACAAGTGGGCCTGGGACACTCTGGCTCCTTCAGGGGAGCCGCTGGAGCAGGGTGCGAATTCGCCCATTGTCCCGTTGCTGGTCTGCACAGCGAGTCCTGGCTGAGCCCAGCAGCAGGATTTGCACAGCTTAGCCTGGTCCTGCCTGCGACCAGGAGGGCGCTGGCTGCTGGGACTGGGCCGGGCATTAACGAGGCACCAGGCAGGACTTTCAGTGCTTGGCACTGAGGCGCATGGAGGTGAAGGAGGGACTGGTGAATATCCCTCCCCGCCCCCGCTGATAGGTGAGTCACATAACACAGCTTCCTCCCACACCTCTCTGCTTCAAGGACCCAGGTGACTCCGGCCCCTCCCGCCCTAGCAGGCAAGTGGGAAGATGAAAGTGCCAGGGCAGGAGGCCGGGGCCAGGGGTGAGCTAGGGATGCAGCTGGCCAGAGCCTCACTGCAGAGGCGGAAGCGGACGTGGAATGGGACCAACACCGTGCTCGGTTAGCGCCAGCCCCAGCCTGCGGTGCCAGGCTCACCGGAGTGTAATGCAACTGCCTGGCTGGCTTTAGGATAACGCACCCGCCCGTCCGCCGCACGTGCCGGCCTGGGGCTGGCCTAACGCACCCGCCCGTCCGCCGCACGTGCCGGCCCAGGGCTGGTGTAACGCACCCGCCCGTCCGCCGCACGTGCCGGCCGGGGGCTGGTCTAACGCTCCCGCCCGTCCGCCGCACGTGCCGGCCTGG